CCCTCGACGGGCAACAATGGGCAGAAGTGACGATTTTTATCAACGGGGGGGACGTCTTGACTCCCCTCTTCCTTCGAGCCGCAGCTTGGCTGCCTCAAACCTCAGAACTGTTTACAAAACCAATCACGAACTTTTCGGGAAGTCTCCAAACAGGAATCTAACAACTGCTTTCCAAATTGTGAAAATAACCGGCCATTTTCGCACGAGTAACCAGACGGTAGCGTGAATTTTGGTTTGATAATGCGAAAGCTTAACGATTGAATTACCCAAGATGTCGGTGATTGAATTCGAAGCGCGTACGTTTCTCACCCTTTTCCGCACGGCCTTGCTATTTGTCATGTACGGAATTTTTCACACGCAATTAATTATAAGGACGATTGTCGCGGGGAACGACGTATTTGAGGGCACTCACGGGAGAACATCTTCCGTCAACCGAATGTAGGATATAATTAAGGATCGTGTAGCGCGCGGGGACGCGCGTTTGGCAGAAAAACGATGTGTACACTTTGTGCCGGGACGGGATCAATAATTATCGAGGCGCATCGCGGTGAGCTCGGGAAAACGAGTCACGGCGGAGAGTGAGTCATTTGTTTCGCGTTGACTTGCACATTTTCGGTCCGGGGGGGAGGGGGGATAGCCGCGACGTCGCGCAATTTCATTTCATCAAGATAGCCTCGCCGACGCAAACAAAGTGCTCCCAACACGAAGTAATTAATTACGGTGATCTGATTGCGCGCGATTAATCCCGCCGACTTTCGAGCGGATCATTAATTAAGGGTGAATGAGTGTCCCGGGGATGTAGGTACTCCCGAGGACACGCTCATTTATTTGGAATAATTTAGTTTAAATGAGTAAACCGTCCGCGCGTGTGTACGCTCACGTGCGCGCCCAAAGTTCAGGGTCGATATCGCAGGCGCTCGATTTGCATCCGAGATATGATCGATCGTTCTATTCATTCGCCGAGCAATTATTACTTAGCGATATTTATACCCGATTTACATACGGTTTCTCCTTTTTTGCGTGATTGATACACGCCGTTCATCAGCGACCGCGTGCGCGGCTTTTAATTGCTTCGGAAAGCAGCTGCTTCGCCGCACGAAATAATCCGAGAGGAAGAACGCGCCACGGAGCTCCGGCGTGCTTCTTCCCCCCCCCTCTTTTTTTCTTTTCTTTCCCCGTTTCTCTTCTTCCCTACCAGCCCGCCGAGCTTGTCGGTGCAAGCTCTCTCTGGAGAAATTTCTCTACTTTGTACGTAAACAGTGGCGGAATGTAATTATTATTCGGTACAGCGCGCGGGTGGGCAGGCAGGCGAGTAGGCAGATTGGTAGGTTTTCTTCGTCGGTCCCTCGTAACTCCGTGCTCGCGGCGAGACTCTCGTCGAGCTTTTTTTATTTATACGGCTCATTGCGCGCCTCTCTCCTCGCGGTGTTACTTGAATCAAGCGGTTCTCTCGCCGGGTTTTCCGCCACCCTCGCGAATCCAATTATTCTGTACTCCTTGCCGAAGAAAAAGCGCGCGGCGAAGGCCGTCGTCGCGCGCGCTTTATGCCTCTCCGGCGGCCGCGTTACCGCCGCCTCCCGGCTTTTACCGCTCCGCCGGTTCGTGTTCGCATTCACGAGCTTCGCCCCGAGGTAAAGCGTCGCTTAAAATGCGGCAACGTTAGCGGATGTTTTAATTTGTTTGCGCCGCTGCGAGCTAAACCGCGTAACCGGCGCACTCTGTTGCGCATAAAAAAGCCCCCGCGATCCCGGCCCAATCTCCGAGGAATTCCTACTTTGTTATTTAATTATACGATCACGACTTCCGCTGTATTCCGCGTTTTGATTACGAAGAGGGAGGGGGGGGGGGAGTTCAGCCTTCTCTGTCTCCCTTTCTCACCGGGCAGCGCGCGAGCGAGCGTGATTTCGCCGTTCCCCACACCTGGCAACCTTTGTCCATAAGATCAAGCGCTTTAATAACATGATTCAAGGAGCGGCAGCGGTCGGTACATTAAGGTCAGGTGGGTCGAGGTATATAAAGATAATAGCCCGCCACCGACCGACCGACCGACCGACCGATCGATCGCCAATAGGTCTCGATAGATCGTAATACTCGCCGTTGGCTCAGCTTGCGAGGTACGCGCGACCGATTCCACCGAAAGTTGCACGGAGCGTCGGTCCAATCGTTACGTAATAGCCGAGCTAATGAAGAAAGCGCTCAATCACTCGGAAATAATCGAGAGCAGAGCCCTGTAATAAGAGTTTGGACACGTGATTGACAACATGTTTGGGCAAGCTTCCGCTCGGGATGGTATCAATGGTTGTTTTCCAGCAAGAGACGAAAGCTGACAGAAATTCCATCATCTGTTATCTCAGGTGCTCTGATCGAACCGGCGAGAGCCGGTAAAATCGTCGTGAAACCGGCGAGAAACGTCGACCTCGGTGGAACGTCTCGAGCGGATCTCTCGGGCTGGACGCCGGCGGGCGTTTAATTTTCGCCGGCATCATCGTGACGCGGGCATCGTCACGTCGCGGCGACGAGAAATCTGTCCACCACCGCCACCACCACGTTTAATGATGAGACCGACGGGCGCAGCGATCGGCGATCTTTCTCGCGCACGCGGGCGCACACCGCGGCCGGGTCAGGCGGGTCGCGGCGCGTAAAAATAATAATCAATCGAACGACCGATAAGTGAGAGCTCGGCAATTACGCGGTGGCGGCGGTGCCTGTGCTGCGGTTTGGCCTCGACCAAAGCCTCGGCGCGAGAAGGGAGAAGAGAGGGGCCTCCGAGAGAACTTCCTTCTACTGCCTTTAATTCGCCTCCATCTCCTCTCGCGCCACCCCCTCCGCGCGCGCGCGCGCGCTATCATAACGTAACAACGCGAGACTCCCTCGCTTTATTATTAAAAGTTAAAATTCCGCTGGGAGCCGGAGCGATCTTGCGGCGAGAGAGCCTCTCTACAGGTACTCTCCCATCCTCCCGATCCTCCCCTCCCCTCCTCGCCTTGTCTTCGCTTCTTGGCTCTTTCTCTCTCGATTCCGGTGTCCTGTCCGCGTCCCTCTCTCGCTCCTTTCTTCTTCCTCTCCTCTCGTTCTATCTCTCTCTCTCTCTCCCTCCCTCTCTCTCCTTCTTTATCCTTCGCTTCTCGGCTCCCTCGATTCGCGGTCTTCTCGTTGCCTTTTTTCCCTCTGTAAACTCGTACAAACGTTTATTGGCGCGATACTCTGTGTTCATAACGGCCGCTGGTAGCAATCGCGCGTATAACTCTCCCGCGTTCTCGGCGCATCCCCCATGGATAATCGTATTACCGTCTATCTTGTAACACCGCATCGAGATGTCGAATCGAGATTCGAAACACGCCGCTCTCTTGTCTTCCGCGTTTTACCTGCGGAACGATGTTGCCTCTCTCTCTCTCTCTCTCTCTCTCTTCGCGTCGAGAGCTTTCTCGCGGTCGGCGCTGGAAACGCCGGCTTCTTCTCGCTCGTACGTCATGCTTCGACACGTACAGGCGTGCCGTTGTCCTGGGAATTAAGAAATTAGAGAATCGCCGGGCTGGCATCGGGCTTTTCATTCGAGGCAAAAATTCGAGCCGCTCGCTGCACCGACTTTCATCGGTGCCGAGATTTCACCGGGCCGCCGATATGTTGTGTTCGCCGGCTGCGGCCTCACCGGCGATTTCGCTCGCGTTTCGACAACGAGTTTTTCTCGCCGGGCCGCTTGACAACCGGTATTGTCGGAAGGTGGTAAAACTGTCCACCGAAGAGTAAAGAGAACGCAACACGCCCGTGTGTATTCACGCGTGTGTGGGCCCGTGCATGTGCGTATATGTGTGTACGTGTGCGTGAGTTACGCGGAACGTCTCGCCGAATTGCCATTTACTCACCGACTGATTGAAACGCGCTAACTGTGCGCCGACGTCGTCGTTGCGCGGCGTTTAAACGAAGCGGCGGTCAGCCGCAAAATTTTCCGCGGGATCGTTGCGCGGGAAAATACGGGAGTGTGTGTTAGGACGAAAGAGGGGAAAAACGGGATCGCGGGGCGGAGAAGGAAGATGTATCGCCAGACGAATGTGAGGGAGGAACGAAGTATCGTTGAGGAGGAGAGTGCAGTGAAATTAGGATGGATGTTTCGTCGAGGTTTTTGCGAAATTTAGCGCGCGCACGCGCGTATAAAGAAGAAAATCATCGACATATCGCTTGTACAGATGCCGATTGTGCGAGGAAGAAAGGAGCCGGATTTCTTCGCTCTCCCCTCCTCTCGTATCTCGACGGAGTGTCGTCTGCGAGGAATAAACCGCTCCGGGGAATGTCGATCGGGGCGAGGGATATTTTTGCCCGCGCGCTCTACCCGTCGTTCCTTCCCCCCCTTTTCCTCTCCCTTACGGTTAACGACGCGGTAACCCTTTTGGCGGGCGACGACGGACGCGGGAATAATCCGACGGACGGCGGTTCGCGCGATTACGTATTATGCTAAACACGCGAGAATGGCTTTTTAAATGGAACATCTACATTTATGTAGTGAACGGAGCGTCCTCGGCCCCATGGCCGCCCTCCTGGAACGGAGGGCAGCGGCGAATTAAATGCAATTTTCGTCCACCGAGGCATGCATAACAAATTGTCGAACGTCTTTATACTTAGAAGCTGCGCGACATTATGCACGTAGCACGGGGGCAGGAGAGGTGGGCGCGTTATTTCGTCGCATGGCCGATTACAATCCGATTATTATGCCCGCATAATGTCCACTGTCCTCTCCCCCCCCCCTGGCCCCGTGTAAGCACGTAGTCACTCACCTGGGCGCGTACCAGCGACGGGCGAGCGGAATTTCTAAACGAACGCAATTTAAAAAGGAACAATAAGGCAGAAACTGGCTACCGGGGAGAGAATATCGGCGGTTCTGCCGCCGCCGCTGCTACGCTCGATCCTTAAAATTGAAAATTAAACGTTTCGTAGCGCACAGTGAATTTTGAATAGCATGTCTGACCTGTACGTTCACGCTTTTTCTGTTTCATGCGCTGGCCCAGGATCCGACTTCCGTGAGTATGGGTCATTAAGTGCCGCCAAATGCTGCTAAGTAATGGGTTCCGCGGGCCCGAGAAAACCGACGATGGCCGGCGATTAATTGCGGAGCGCGGTTCTCCGCGAGAGAGAACGCACGGGAGAATTCGCGAGCCGCGCGTCCCGGGAAGCGCTTCGCCCGTATCAACGTGCATGTAGTTTACATTGCTAATCGGCAAAAGGTATGCCGTTGCGAAGGCGCGGCGGGAATCCCGGCGGTAACACCCCGTAACGGCGGAAATTTTATAAAATCGCGCCGCCGCGTGATTCGCACGGCGGATACCCCGGCCGATCGCTCGCTTATTATCAACCGTTGTGGATTTTCCCTGTTTCATGCACGCCCGGGCTCGGCGCTGGATCGACGTGGGATATCGTCGCACATGCGAACAGGGCGTGAGTACACCTCCCTTGATTCTCTTTCCGCTCGGTCTCTTCTCGTTCTCTTCAAATTTCCCGGAACGAATTTCCCCACTCGATGCGCGCGCGCTCACTCGAGTTTACCGCCCCTCGGAATTACGAAGGTGAATGAAGTGAATTTTGCGAAATTAATTAGCGCGAACGGAAGCCACGGAAGCGGCAGCCTGGAGAGTGAATGTTCCGCTCGGTCAGAGTGAATTTGTTCCGGCGGGCGAAAATATCGCTCGAGTTTAAGCGAGAAGTCTCGCAGCTTCGAGTTACTCCACCGGCATTATTTCACCTTTCGAGTGGGATTTCGCTCGGAGAAATTCGAAGAGTGACGATATCAAGTACACAGCGTGAGATTACCGCCTTTCCGCGTTTATCGGCAGAATTTTACACGCCGACACGCGTTTCGTAAGTTTCGCCCAAGCACCGTTGCATCGAAAGACACACGCGCGGGGTTCTCGATACACCGCGGCCACGACGATTATTATTCCATTTCTACCCCGTGGTAATGAGCGAGGAGCGACGGGGACCGGTACCTAATTAATTGAAGTAATAACGATGCTCGCAACGCACGAAATGCGAATTAAGTATATACCGAGTTCGCAAATTATCGGTTTTAACTTCGGCCCGCTCGTATCCGTGCCTCATTGATTGTACGTATGATGTAATGATTCCCTTTGGCCTCAGCACGGATCTCCTACCCGTGGACCGCGAAAAAAACCCAAATATACGCTCGTGGGAACAAGGAATCCGTAAATACGCTCGATTATCGGCGAAAACGAGAGAAAGAAAGAGAGAGAGAGAGACCGGAGTCATGATTCCGGCACATTTACGACGACCACGAGACGTCGGTCGGTCTGTCGGTCGTTCCCCGTGCCGGCGGCGCGTTCGTCCCGATAAATCGGAAAGGGGCCCCGCGAGAGCAGCCCGGGCCCCGAATACGAAATGACGGGACGGATAACTGACGTCTCTATAGTAGTAAAACTGCGACCGTGGCGACGGGGGTCCGCAGACGTCGTCGGAGACATCCGACGCCGCAGGCGGCCATTGTCTCAGAGGGGTCCCAAGGGCGAGGCCACGAAGAAGGGCCAACCCCGGCTGACACGCACGAGGGGGTCGTAGCACCCCGTCGCGGCCCTCACGGAATTAATAACCAAAATTCGAGTATATCCCCAGCAATCTCTCTTTCTCTCTTCTTCTCTCTCCCCTTCTTTCTCTCGCCGGGAGTTATCACTACGCGCCCACTTGACCGGCCTTCCGCCATGGGCCCTACGATGGGGCCTCACGACGGCGGCGATCCGAGTGTCGCACACCCACGCGAAAAACGCCGACTCGGGCTCTCGAAGCCGCTCGAAGTGAGTTATAACCGAGGACCGGCGAAATTTCTTTTTTACGCTGTGAGTTACTCGGGATATACGCGTCGGGGCGCGTTTAGAGCGAACCGGAGGTCACTTTGTCGCGGTTGACTCCGCATCCTCGTCGTGCCGCCGACGTCGTAAATCCAGCGCGCGCGCGATGGAATTATCCGGACGGGATCGGCAAGGTGTACGTCCCGGAGGAAATCTCGGCGTTCCCTCCGCCGCGGGGAATCCACGCGAACCTTTCCCGCAGGCATTTTTCCAGATTTTGCCCGCATCAGCATAGATCGGAGCGTCCAAAGTTGTCCCACAATTTCGTCCCGCAAATTATCCCACCGCGGTACCAATCCCGCTCTTATTTTATCCCAGACATGGGACGAAGCCTCTTTTCCGTGGCGCTGATTGGCTGCCGTTTGCTTCATCGTCAGAATCGAGTGACAGTTTGACCGAATATCAGGTTAGGAGGCTGAAGCTTGGTCTAGAATGTGCTCTTTGCGTATCGTTTCTTGCTAGCTTTCTTCCGTAGGAACTTATATTTACTCATGGAAAAGAGGTAGAGACGCGACTAGATCCCAGGAAATTTTCCACACAGCCTCTGCTCTCTGCCGTTATTCGCGGAGCCGACCGACAGATCGTCACTCTCGGCGTCCCTCGAAATTTCCGCGCGCTATTCGTCCTTCTCCCTCTTTTCTTTTTTCCCGCTCGGCAATCACGTAGGTGTGGATCGCGAGCGGCGCTATATAAGCGGGCAATTAAAAGCGTGCAGCGGGGACATTTATGTTGGCACTAACTGCCCGTTAAGACGGGGGAACCACCTAACCGTGGAAGGTGTAATTGGCCGACAGGCTGAACCTGCAGCTCGTAAAAGCGCAGCGGGCGTGCCTCGTCATCCCGTAGTTTTCCCGGCGCGGCGTTTACTAATATCGCGTCTCGCGTTTCGAATTCCCGCCTCGTGCCGCCGTCGATTTCATCGGTGAACGAGTCGGGCGAGCAACGGGTAGAATCCACCGCGCTGCCGGTACGCGATCAACGACAATCGTCATATGTGAAAAGGAAAGAAAAAACGGAAGCCCGAGACGGAGGGAATCGTATTAATTAGGATAATTAAAAAGTAACTGTTCCTACCATCGTTCGTTAATTACGAAACCTGCCGGGGAAACAGGGAACTAATCGTAAACAAATTTAAAAGTATATACCGGAACAACTGGTCTGCCCGCCGTCTTGTCTCGATCTTAACGTTCTCATCAAACGCATAATGGGCGGCACGGTTAGATAAGCCCGGGAGGCAGGCACGTCTGGACGTTGAAAAAGCGAGTTGTTATTACTACGGTTATTAATGCAGATCCGCCGGCGGATAATGTAATTGTACTACAACGTAGTCAGCAAGTATAATTTTCATTGCGTTAAGCCGCGATTACCGCATCCGAATGTTCCTTCGAATCGGCGTCGCGTGTAACGAGCTCGGATGTAATACGCCGTGTCGAAATAAAACGTCCCAATTTGTCCAATCAAAGCGAGACCAGCCGAAAGTTTGATTCCAAACGTGAACTCTGCGTCTTACATCTTACATGGAATTTGATACGCACCAATGGAAAATTTCCAAATACAACATTACACAGGCCGTCGTGCCTCAGGTGCCAAAAGTTGATACTTATTGCTGTTTTAGTGAAATCTCGAGAACGTCCAATGTATTTATCTAATCTAGCATGAAGCATATCTCGTAAATGCTGTTATTTACATCTAATAATACTCACTTAGACCACGAGTCGGATCTCGTTAACATCTTTCGACGCTTTTTCTGCCTAATCACGTTATTGCACAGAATCTAAATTTAAATCTGCATCACCACCGAGGCTCCCAACGCCAAAAGAAAAAGAAACAGAGATTATGAGAATATAAATATGTTAATTGCTTTATCCACTTAATCTTCATTAGAATAACATTTGCCTATGTGGCATACCCTATCCGAAGTTGAATAAGTTATATAATTAATACATTGTTCATTGAAACCAAGAATGAAGATTTAACTCGTAAGTGGGCGCGTGACTTTTTCGATGAATAAAACCGTTGCCGTTTGCAGCTGAGATTCTCGAATATTATCGACGCTACTTCGCTAAATCCAAGAATAAACGATGGGATTAAATTGCCGAAAGTTCGAATGTTGCAGACAAGAACGAAACGGAGAAAACATTCGTTTGTTCATGTCAGTTTGACCCCCACGCGTCCGCTTACGGATTACTGCAGGTGTAAGATTGAAATCATTGAATATGAAACAATGTGGAAATTAAAAAATGTCGAGTCACAAAATGAAAATTACAAATATATAAATATTTAAAAAATCCTCGAATAAAAACACTTCGGGTCTCGACGCGAGGGAAACGGCAATAAGTGAGGGCCTGCGGCATCAAAGTAGAACCCGATAGCCCGTACACCGTGGTACACCTGGAAAATCCGCCGTTGATTCTTCAAGTTCGACGGAGTTCGCGGAACTAATGAGAAACCGAAGCTCCGGCTCAGGGAAGCGCGAACGTCTCTCTCAGCGTATTCTCACCGAGCTCACGTCGCGCGCGTTCGTGCCTTTCGATCCGCCTCGAATGCGTTGCGAGGAGAGAAAAAAGCCGGCCGATTCCCGATTTGACTATAAAAAGCGTTACGCTCATTTCGCGATCGCGATCGCGAGATAGCGCGCCTTCGGCCATAAGCAGTGTCATTAACATAGATCTAACGTAGGATAACGTAATTGCGCTACAATGTAGCACCGGCCAGACGATATACGCGGCGTCGGTGTGCGTCGGTGTGCCCTAAGAAGTGCCCGAGCTACGTGCGAAAGGGAGGCGCGCGGCTTACATTTTATTATTAGTACGCACGTACGCTCGTTACGCTACCGTACCTACGAAGACGCGCATTCCCGGCGATCCATTTCTCCCTCTGTCTCCCCTTTATCCCCCTTCTCCATCTCCTTCTCCCTCTCTCGCGGCTTCGATTAAAATGCCAGACGTCGGTACGAAAGAGAGAGAGAGAGAGAGAGATTCGCCGTGATACGCGATATTGTTACGCGTGTAACTGTCCGGATCCGTGACGGAGTCACGCGATATGCATTATGCACGCACGTAACGCTGCGCACCGGCAGACGCGTTTCCGCAATCAGTCCCACGATGCGCCGACGGTGACGACTCTCGCGCGCTCGTTCGCGCTTTGTGAGAAACCGAGCGGA